ATAAACAGCAAGGAGAAGTCACCTGGCCAGAGCGTAGTTTATGAAAGACCTCCATAAATTAAATTAGTCTGCTAGCCCACAAAGTTTATAAGTTGTTTAGAGAACTCTTGTCAGGAATCCCCTGGCTATAGGGAAGCTTGGGATGAGATTCTCCCCCTCCCCTGTAGAGTGGAATTTGACACCTAATAAGAAAGTTTTTTTCTCCTCTCTTACTATGTATAGATATTTTGAAGTGTTTTAAGGCCTTCACCATCTCTGCATGTCCCCTACTTTTAACTGTAGCAAACTGTCTGTATACACATTATTCTATTCCCAAAACTTCTGCATTTCCATTCAGAAAGTCATAATGCAGTTATTATCAGAGATTTCCACATGGAGTTATTGAATCATATTGGTAAGCTTGGTTTATGCCTAGGTGCTGTGACATGAATGCACATTGTCTTGAATTAGTCTAGTAGTCTGGCATGTTGCTGAGTAATAGTGCACTGCAGCTCTCTTAACAAGCTGCGCAGATCAACTTGATAAATCCTTGGTTAAGTATCAGTGTGGCTGGTGATGTAAAAAATAAATAGGAAGAAAGTATTGCACTGAAATATTTACAGTCTAAAGGTTTCACCCATTAACAGTTCATAGATACTGTCTTCGGGAATGAGTCCGCTGAGGTGACTGGAACTATTTGTGCAAAAACAAGCTACGTATATGTTTGCAATAACGTCTTAAGAGACTTTAAACTTTAAAAGAGATTCCATTTCAGGACAAGGCTCTAACTGAACTTCAGCAATGAAAGCAAATCAAAGCATAACAACATCCACCCCAAAGGAATCCTACTCTGCTCAGCATAAAGTTTACTAGAGAGATTTTCTAAAGAATTATTTCCTTTTTGTCACAGGAGGTTTGAAAAATTTACTTAGTATCTCTGTGAGGAAGAAAATTTTGCTGTTTAACACTTAACATAAGTGGTATATATTTCACGTAAGATATGTTGTCATGATTCAACTTATGTTTTGGATGTAATTTCCAAACAACAAGTAGCTCAGTTATTTACATTTATGTTTCTCAACTCATACTTTAGTTTCTATGCAGTATGTTCATCTTTTTAAAGCACTGATTTTTGGCATTTATCAGTATCCAAACAAAAATCCTGTCCAAATAATGTTCAAGGATAGTTCACAGTTACATCTAAAATCTGTACTTAGAAAAAAATTGATTGTGGATAGATATATCATAGATATGTACATACTAGAAGATTTTAAAACAAAACAACAAATGGAAACATTGCAAGTATCAGATTCATAAAGTCAAAATACTAATTAAATCATCGACTTTCATGAATTGTGACATATATTTGTAGTTATATTTTTTCCTAATGCATTGATTTTGTACAATAGAAATGATAATGAAAAATTAGAAATTAAAATGAAATTAAATTAGAAAAAAAAATATCTGATTTTTACCCTAATAACGCTTGTTGAAAGACCCTCTGTACTTCTGCACAGGAGCTGAAACAAAAAGTGTAGTATTTTTTTCCCTTAACAAAGAATAGGATAATATTCGGTACATTACAGCTAAATAAGGTTTTCTTTCCAACGAGTTATAAGTTAATCAGACAAATATATTTTCACATATGTTTTATACGAAAATATCAAAGCCAGTTACTAGTTAGATAGAAATATGAGGTACACACAGACACACAGATACCTATATGCTATCAGTGCCAAATTTTGCTCTTTAGTGTACATGCACAGCTCCTAATGAGGTAAGCAGAGAATGTATTTAAATAGTGCACATTTTAAATTGCTACATTTCAATATTTTGTTTTTCAGACTATGTGCATATAATCAGATTGTTTTCCAAGCAGGTGTCCATTTGATTACTTAAAGTCCAAACTGTGGTCTGGCTATTGAGTATGCAGAGGTGGATAATGGGAAGGGCAGAGAAAATACAAGCCTTTTTGCATCAACAGGTGACAACAGCAAATAGGGGAAAAAAGAGGGGAGTAGGCTCAGAGGAATACACCTTCCCTGAATTGTACAGATATATAAGAAAGAAAAAAGATTTGGCAGAACTTTGACGCTTTTTCCTGCAGTGATGATTGTGTTGCACGTATATGGCTTGTGTTAGGTGATACACACAAGAGCAGGGGGAGAACAGCAGCAGGACCTCACAGAGGTTTCTTCTTCTTTGAAAGTTCTCAAAGTCCTCCGGGAGCTGTTCCGAGAGGAGCGACACAACATGCGCGAGGGCAACAAACTACCCAGAGTGAGGAGACAGCTTTCATTAGTCCATGCAAGTATCCCATTTAAGGGCTCAGACTTTGAATACTAAACTTCAATTCATGTATTTAGGGTCAATTATAAAACCGTAAAAGCAGAGAGACGACAAGAATACAGATTGATATACAGTTTAAAAAACCACAATTGAAAAAGACTAAAACTAAATGTGCGTGCCACTCAGAAGTCCCATATAAGAGTAGATTAAAAAAAAAAAACACCAAACCACACAAAACCTAACGCCAAAACCTGATACATATATCGATATGAAAACATGAGGATGTTTGATTACTGTCTCCTAGAAAATGCAATGTTTAGTTGTCAAGTGATTAGATGCTTTATTTGGACATAAAACGAACTGAAAGGATATTTATGCAGAATAACAAGCAGAAGTTAACAAGCAGGCATGTATTTACCATGGTTCTCAATACAGCAATACCTATTTCTGCACAAGGCATTAACATTTTGTAAAATGTTTTCTTCAAACTAAAAAGTACAATCCAAATGTCCCTAAGAAAACAATCAGCTAGACAATATTGTGCTCTTCGATTTGCTTGTACAAAACTAGTGAAGGAATCATAGTGCTTTAGAAGTGACAGGCAGTCACTTATTTCCACAGTGGGTAGATTTAGATTTATCAAAACTATTTGAGAAGCCTAGACATAAAATTGATTGAATTCCATTATTCAGCAATAATCTTGAATACTGAGATGAAGAAGCACACTCCAATCTGAGAACCTATCTTAGCTAGCAGAATTAAGTGACTATTCTTTGCAGCATAAAATAGGAGTGGATCCACAGAGCAAATCAGTTGGTTCTCAAATGTTCACACCATATTTATTTTGGAGTTTTACTTTGAGTTGTTTTAACCTGGTTCCATGGACTGAACACCCATTTGCAGTCAGAGCATGTGCCCACCCCCCACCCCCCCATTTAAAAGGAATCCAGTTTGCATGCCCAAGACTGCTCAGTGTTGCAAACTGGAATGTAATAAACATGGACAACTGGGAAATCCAAGAAGCCTACTCCTGTTAAGCACTAAAATGCTACTGTCGATGCAACCAATAATACTATCCATGTACTCAGTGACGAGATAGAGGCGCTCTAGCTTATGATATTGAGAAGTCAATCTCTGCTTTGAAGTTGCCTTTTGGCTGAAGCTACTTCCATCCACAGTGTATATAAACTGATCAGAAACTAAGTCATGAGACCAGTTTTTCTAAAGTAAGGTGCTTACTGTTTGCATTATGAACACTTCGACAGATAATGTAGGATCTTCCATTCAGTCTTTAATATTTTTATTATTATTTTACTTTTTCCTGTCCAGGAAAATGGAAATGGAGTGTAACAATGCCCTTCTAATGCACCAAAAATAGTCAGTAGTTTGAAATCACTGTTACCTAAGTATCAAATACATACATAACTTAAATAATTAAAGAGGTTATAACATCTTGTTTCACTACTATCAAGAAGGTGAAATTTCCCGTCTCCCTATGTTCAGAAGCTACACAAAAGGAAAAATTTTGGTGAGTCCATTACCTAGTAGCCTGCCTCCATCTCTTGAACATAATATAGAAATTATAGCGTACGCAGAAGCTTAGCAGTTGGTAAGACTTCAGCTGGCAGAGTGTATTGGTAAGTTACTTTGAGATACTGAGAACATATGTCAAATTGCTAAAACATACAGAAATTTTGAGTCCTAGTGCCAATTGCAACCTCCAAGCCATAGAAAACTACTTTAGTCTTAAACTTCTGTCAACCAGGTAAGTCAGATGGATTAAAACTACAACATATATTAATTAACTCAGATATAACCAGTGACTTAAAAATTACTGCTGATGAAATATAAAAAATAGGATAATCAAAAGGATCACAATAACATCAGACAGTTAAAGTCCTGATCTTTATTCAGTCTGAATGAGGAGAAGCAGGAAGATACTCTGAAGCAGGAGATACTCTCTTCCATAGGATAAAAAGAAAAAAAAAAGTTTTCAAAGTCTGGTCTGTTCATCCCTTGGTGTGAACAGAATGATGTTTTATAATCACTAGAACTTGTGATACGCAGTGATGTGTTACAATGCATAGTATTCAGATTCTACAAAGTTGAATAGATACTACTATTTACTATAGGTTTTGTAAAAAATTGTTAAAATTTATGGAGCAAATGCTCCTAATCACCAGGAAAGTATATAAGCCCTGAAAGGATGGATCACACCCATGCAAGCAAGATACAGCATACGCATTCAAGGATTGTATACAGCATCACAGCACAGTAACGTAAAATGTATAGACAGCTTGCTCTTGTTACTCTGAAGTAGTTTTCCACAGCCTCAGGCCAAGGTTTGTCAGAAACAGGGCATGATTATCCCCAAGTTTTATGCACACTGACATTAAGAAGCATTATAAATGCTCAGTAAGCATTTTCCGACTCCAAAAACTCCAGGTACTTCTAGACTGAATATTGCGGTAGCAAACAGTGCCACATGGTGTGCTTAGTCTGCTTAACAGGTAACATCCAAGGCAGGTTTTCAAGTATATGGACTGTAACTGTCAGCACATCTTTGTTTATGCCTTTCCTCCAGTGCTTCCCATCAGAAAAGCTAAATGCACAAGTAAAGAAATAGCTAAGAACTGTCTATCCTTTTTCTTGACAAGAGGCAATACAAGGGCAACTATACAACTGAGTTGGCTGTATGTAGCCAGATAGCCTATATTAATCTGTAAACTTACCTTGGCATACAAACTTCAATTCCTTGGCATCTGTGACAGTGGTTCTCTTATCTGACCTCTTCTTTTCTGTCCGACGGTGGCTACGTCTTTTCTTTGTCTCTCCCCAAAGATTCGATCCACCATGCATGCTTGGGATGTTCAGAATGGCAATTCCTTCCAGAGAAATATTGGTTAAGTCTAGCTGAATTCCATCACACTGATTAGCAAGGAGAAAAAAGGAAAGGAAAAAAAAAAAAAAAAAACAAAAAAAGAGAAAGAGAAAGCAGTAAAAGAGAAAGAAAAATCAGAATGCTCTACCTATCAGATATTTTTCTTCAACAATTCATCATTCTTAACACTGTTAATGGTTTATTCAATGTTTACACCTAAGATATATACTTATATCTGGAAAGGAGATACGAGATAGGAACAGATCCTCATTCAGAAGGCAAAACATGATTCCTATTCAGCTCTTGATTGCTTAAGTGTGGGACCATTTGGTGGAGTCTTGTTATCTGATACCTATTCATCAACTGAAGTGAAATATGTTTGTAGCTTCACTACAGCTATTAGCAGAAAAAAGTTTATACTACAAAAATTTCTATAGCAATAACTGGAGTTTTTTTGTTGCCTATTCCAGCTAAATTGTCTGTATTACGATTTTGCAATGATACTTGTCATTGTAACACCTGAGTCCCTTCCACATGAAACCGAATATAAAAGTCCCTGCATACAGAGCATACACAGCTTCATGGAAAAGGGTCTAAGCAGGCCCCGAGAGCACAGAACACCACACCGCTATTAGCTTCAATCCAAAGGCACAACTGGCACATTAGCGTAGGGCTATGCCTGACTAAAAACTCCTACTGAGAGGTAAGATTAGTAAAACTGGGTACAGCAAAATGCAGATGCAGGTACAGCACTTCTTATCCCAGAACTTCCATGAGCCCGTTCTCTGAAATATGCAGCATTGCCAAAGGAAAACACGGGATATGGAGCTAAAGAAGAGGTATCAGTGCTCTAAAAGCCTTCCAAGACTTACTGGAGACACAGAAGAAATCTTACTCTGTGGGACAGTCCCTTCAGTGATGGAATCATTACTGTAGGGCACCTCGTGTCACTAGTGTGTATTTCTCCTGCTTCCTACAGCAACACAGGACACTGAGGCATTTTATAGGTGTACATTCCTTTGCTAAATTTGGCTTCAAATTATATCTTATAAAGGGACCATAATTTTCACTTCCAGAAGAATGGTTCAGGGACCTTAACTTATCAGCCTGTTTGTTCAGTGACAAACTGCAGCATCTTCTCAGGTGACAAAAGCCTACAACATTTGCAAACACAGTTCACCTGGCACACATTGGATGAGATGTACCTAGATTGATAGGACACACCTAGCCTTCATAGACTATAATTTACTCAGGCTAAGTCCTCCTCTCCACCCACATTGTTTTAGGATCAGGGGAATCTCCTAACCCATATAAAACACAGCAAAATACTGAAGAACCTCCACAGAAGAAAAAAAGACCCAACTTCAGATAACTGCGGTTGAACCTGCAGGTGTAAGGCAAAGCATCCAGTTCTACTTATTAATTCACTGAACAAGTCAAAGTTCCCAGGATTTATGTACTTGTACCTTGGCTAGAGGTAGATTAGCTTCATGCCTCACAACATAGCTAGAGTATATAGATATCCTGGCAAGTCGCACGCACCTTACACCGTATAGCAGCATATTTTTAAAACATTAGATCCTACTCCTGCAATGTTCTGCAAGCCAGTAGGGGGTCCAGTCATGCATTTAAAACTGATTAAGGGTCTTATTTTGTAATTCCAATATACAATAATCAGGAAGAAAACTGGAAAAATAATTAACCATGCTTCAGTAATAGTCCACTGACATCTTGCAGCTTGCTGCTCTGTGGGTCACTGGCACTTTTTCCTCTCTGCCTAAACCTTTATCACAGCTTTGTAGAAGAAAAGGAAAGTACAACTCAAAAATAACCGCGCATAATTATTTGTTTACCCTGAAACTTTCTGAGATCACAAAACAGAACTGTATTATAATGCATACTCTGCATCTTCTTAATTCTTCTAAGAAGAGTGTAAATCTGGAGAGAGAACAATTTCAGCATTAAGGTTTCCATTTCATATTTGCTCTTCAAGAATTAAATTTTAAACCTGTGGATTATATTCATATAGGAAAACCTTTAGAGTCAAAAGACATATCTGGAAGTGAGTTGGCAGTTGTGGCAACTACTGTAATTGAAAATGCAACTTTTTAATCACACTTTTCTTACAAGAAAAAAGGCATGGGTCTTCACTGTTATTTTGGAAGCAAATTCGTGGTTCCCCCCTATATTTTATATGTATTAAATACTAAGATGATTTATTTTACTAAAAATTCTGCTCATGTGTATGCTCACTTACTGCTATACATTCTAGATAAACAGATATTAATTTCATAATTAAAAGTAATCTTGTGTAAATACCCTGCAGGCCTCAATGAATCAAACACATACTGTGTGTCAGGCCTCCCACTGTCTTCAAGTGGAATGTACTGGCTGGATAATTAGATAGTACATATTTTTTAACCTTATTTGCATGCATATTATATCTTTTGCACACTGACAAGCAGCAGTAACAACAAAAGTCAGATTACCACAGGGAATTCCCACAAAGAAGTCTTCATTCCTTATAATTTGCAGCCTAAATTAAAATAATTTGATCTTTGACAAGGATGAAATGTCAAGCAGAAGGGGGTCCTCTACAAGCCACGGCCTGTGGCTTCTGAAATCTGCCTAATTTATGTCAGTCACTTCTTAATACATATTTAAGTATTACACGAGAAAGATGATAAATATGCAATCTGACACCTTTGGTATTTCCCTGCTGTTAATTTATAAAGGTCTGGCGTCCCCCAAACTGACTGGAATTATTTAAATAAAAGAAGAATTGTGAAATAGGATGGCGCAGGGTCTGGCTTCCATTTTCATTCAATATTGAACACAGCAGGTAGTACACTAAGACAATTATTTGACTAGGCCTCAGAATCCCACAGTGACGAGGAACTTTCTGAATTAGTAAAGGAGGATTTCTTTTGTTCATACACAGACAAGAAGTTTGCGCTACAGGTAGCTCTGCGTTGTCCTAACACATTCATACACTACAACAACAAAACACAGATGTGTTCTGCTCCTTTTCTTTTTTTTTTATTTTTTAGTATCAAATAATGCAATTATGCTGCTAAAAATAAAAGCATGCTTTTAAAATGCAGAGCATGCCTACCTAGATTAGAAATAAACAGTAGTGCTTCTATTTCTTTTTTGCCCTCTTTCCTGGCCTCAGTCCCTTTTCAGGCATTATCTTTTACACTTCATTCATTAGATCAAAATTTTCAGATCATCTCGAAGTTGAAAACATATCCGTGCCTGAAAACAGCTGAGACCAAGGCTTTGCTGTGTAACCAAGTGCAGTATCATGCAAGACTACATGATCGTTTAAACTCCTTTCCCCCACCCATTAATACCAGGTGGTATAGTAGGTTTCCTCTGGTCCAGCAATGCTTTTACAGCGCTGCAGGTACGGACCATGCCACCTCCACTTACGCTGCATCTATGCCTCCTCTCATTAAATGCCCTTCACACACCTTTCTTTTTTTCTGAAGTGGAAATAAAGTATAAGTGCTCTAAACTGTAAAGTCTTAAGCTTCATTTACTGACACATTATTATTATTAAAAATAAATACCTAATTTTGCCCTGGGTTTTTTTTTCCCTTTAGAACCTATGTTTCTCTGCTCAACCTCTTGGATCCCAGTTTGGAAATAAACACACATCTTACTCTGGATAACATAAGAATTTAGTGTCCAAACTTTGTTCTGCATCTCACACAGAAGAAATTATACAGAACATGAGAGATGAATGTGTATCAGGAAAGCCAAGCTTAATTAGGTTAGAAATCAAATGCAGGGTTTGCCCACAGGACGTTTGATTGCGGTCTCCCAGCTCAGAGATACAGATCCTTAATCTTCATGGGCTTTGTTCATTCAAAATTTGGCTGTAGAGCAAATGCATTCTTTGTGCATTTTATTCGGAGCGAAATGTGGTATCATACACTAAGCTCTCATTTACAGCAACATCCCCAAGCAAGGGGCAGCAGGTTAAAAATCAGATGAAAACAGTGCTACTCCCAAGTGTTTATAACATAAAAACAAGAAACATTAGATACAAGCATACTGGTAAGCATTGTTCATTTAAATGTAATTTACTCATTGTAAATAAATCTGTAAATAACTACCTCCTAACACTTCTTGTGTAAACATTTTGGAAACTATTTCCCCTAAGATTTTTGTTCCTAATTGTAGGACTAATGATAATGACCAGGATAGATGAAGTGGATATTGACAAACATGTCTCATATACTAGCAATGTAATACTTCATTGGTAATAATAGTGTTATCGATATGAATTGGTAATAGTTATACAACTGGTATCAGCAGCATCACAAACTTGTATGCATACTTGTTTGCTTTGGGATGTTAACGTTTCATCACCCTTTCAATGGTTACAATTAGATGGTTTAAGATGATCACATCTTATAGGCTATGTAAGATTTTTGCCGGATAAAAATATTTTCTTGGGAAAGCCTGCTCTTCAATTTGTATTTAATCAAAAGGTACATTTAACTTGCAGTATATTCAAATCAAATCAAATCAGGTAAGCATTTCTTCCAATAACTAATCAAATATTTTTCAGGCTACATGTACATAAACCCAAATGTGTGAAGCACTGTCTTGGGAAGCAAGAGATGTTTTGTTCGATTTGTTTTTCCCAAGGTTTTTGTTTGGTTTTTTTTTTTTTTTTTAATTTTTTACTCTAATGTGGGGAGCATGTTTCCACTTTAAAAAGAAACATAACAGCATAACAGGCAAGTCTGGCACCACAGGTCTTACAGTTTCAGTCTCAGTATTCTTTGTTACTGTTCTACTACCAGATCCATGGTCCCTTCAGATCATTTCAGACTTCGCCTTTCAGGAGGCTTCTACCAGACTCTCATAGCTCTCACTGTACTTCTCTGAGTGCCTCATGCTACTATACAAATACTCCATTAACATGTGCAGTTTTTCATTACTATTGGAAAGGAAAAGCACCATAATCCTCTTGAGAAATGATTTCATTATTTAACTTAAATTCTCAGGTTTGTACCTTCACTCATTTCACATTTTTCATTTACTTATTTATAAATATCAGCCCCCCAAACAGTTTATGTAATGTAGCCGCTTATTCTATCAACCATCAAAGTAGCAGTGGCACATTATTTTAAATTCCTATTTTGTCTGTAACTATCCTGTGTCTTTCAGTCAATGTATAATGGAAAGATGACCCCTTGTACAGAGAGAAAAGCTATTTAATGAAGGGGAATGATTCAAAAAAATATATATTCTTTAACCTTTATTCAGGAAAGTAAGTACAATTTTAGGGAATTGAGTTTTAAAGGTTATAAAAACTTGGGACCTAGAAATAATAAGATTTTTTTAAATTTTAATCCTGCAGCAGCTCTCACTCCCTCTGACAGTCTTTCATTTTTCCATCTGACCTAGCCACACTCCCTATTGATTTCTAATGTTATACTTCACCTCTTGACCTCGTCTACTGTATTAAGACTTCACTAATCATCAAACTGAACTTTGTTCCAGTGTGCAGGGCTACACTACAAATAGACACGATAAAAATAATATTTTGGAATATGGGGTCGAAAGGATGTGCACTGCTTTGCCTTGTTGGATTCAGGCACTCTGCACCCTTGCTCCCTGCATTTCAGCCAAACTAGTGACATTTCAAGGAGAAAGGCAACAATTAGTTTCTTACTTCTATTTCTACAGATTCATGCAGCTTCTTACAGGTGGCTGAGAAAGTTTCCGAAGTGCCAAATTCAAAATACCAAAATTTGTTCTTCATTCTGAAACAAGAAAAAAAGAAAAGAAAAAAGAAAGATCTTATTCACTATCAATATGTGACAAAAGTGATCATCCTGTCTTCCATTATAAGTAATGGCAAAGGCTTGGGAACATGTGACATCCCATTTGAAATAGATGAGCTCATAATTTTCAAAGCTTAAATGTTGGTGTCAAGTTGTATGATATCCCCTAAAGGGATAACAGGAATGTGTTGAACTGACAGGTTCAAATGTACCTTTGACTTTTCTTTTTCAGTGACTATCAGAATATTTTTTGTCACTTAACCAGTGACATGCCTCAGAAAAATGTATCGATTTTATTTCATGTCTTACACCTACTATACAATTTCTGATTCACGGTTAAAATCTCTATCCCGCAAAGTACTAGAATGTGCAAGCAGGGCACTCCCATAGTGAAGAAGAGCCAAGACAAGAATGTAGCTTGCCTTAAGTTAGCTAAGGGTAAAGGTAAAAGCTTATTGTTCATGATGACAGATGAGATAGTTGAAGAAAATAAGAATTCCAGCTCTAATAATCTTTAGATATTTTGCAGTAGGAGAGCTGTATTACCAGGTATTTAACTCATCATAGACACATTTTAAATGGGTGACGGGATCTGCATCTTGAAGTTCATTAACAGATTCTACAGAAAAATAAAACTGGATATAAATGCTAGTAAATTGCTTAGTTTATATGACAGCAGGCAGAGATTACACTTTTTTCTTCTTAAATACATAAAGACTGCACTTCTGTTTTATCAGATTTATTGCATACTGTTAAATACCATCAGGACACCAGCAGTACCATTTCAAATAGGTATGTGCAGTTTTGTTTAACTCTCATGAGTAATTATTATCCTGTAACAAAACAAGAAGCAAAACTAAAAAAAAAAAGGCACTGAATTAGAAGTCATTATTCACACTTAGGAATCAGGTATGAACACAGTTCATCCACTTGTATAAACTGTTTTCTGACGCAGGCACAGCATAGTGTCCTTGGAACTTGAAAATGACTGGGTTTGCATGAGCTAGAAGTGGAGAAGAGTGAAACGCAGATGTAGATGACTGTCAAACATGCCAGCAAATGTAAAAATACTACCCTTCGTACTTATTCCAAATTAGACACACAAGTCTACTTAGTGTCTCTTGAAGTCCACTTAATGGCTCTTAAAGCCACAAAGGGAGAAGGGGCACTACAGTACTGGCTGTTCCCAGAAACCTGCTGGCACACGAGCCAGCAGTTCCTGGTGCAGTACCAGAGGTGTGTGAGGATGTCCTACCTGGCAGCCTGCACGGGGTGGGGAACTGAAGAATAATAAGAGAGAAATCAATACATTTCTGAAGAAAAAGTTACAGGCATTTCCAAAGGTTTTTGCACACACAATCTGAAAATGTTTGGAAACCGTTTCTGAGAACCAGCTCTGGGATAAATGGCATATTCTCAAAAGAGCTCCAACAACCACAAAGCCTCAGACCAGATTCAGCTTCCAGACTCCCAAAGTCCGATATACGTTCCTTCTATACCTGCAGATTAGTTAGCACACTGACATGCTGACCTGGGATCAACTACTCTATTTATGCCAATGTATATGAAGAAACGTAGAGTCCTTTAATTTCCAAACAAGTGTGAACAAAGTACTGAATTCCTGTTGGGTTCCTTTGGAAAATCTGGATGTAGCTATTTTCCTGCTACTTTCTACACAGGGACGATGAATAATGAAACAATAAAAAAACCTGACGTAAGTATTCAGAAAAATGCTTCATCATTTCTTTTGATCCTATTATTGAGTAAGACCAAAAAGCCTTTGCACCTTCTCCTTTGAGAGCCTTTCCTCTTGCTATTCAGTTATTTTTACCTCAAATGAAGCATCTTTTCTTTTTCTTTATTGAAAAACCTGCTTTAAATTGACTTCTTAACACTGTATATAACAATTTCTGACTTGCACAAAGATAAAATAGATAGCTATATTTTAGTCATTCAAAATATATTGTGTCAAATTCATGTATTTTGAGTTCAGCAAAACAAAACCCAGCATTGTCAGTGCACTTAAGGTTTATTAGAACATTTAGATCTATAAATCAAAACTTTGTAGAATTATATGACAGAAGATTAAGTACATTTATCAGGTGACGTTTTGATGGTAGATGTATTTCTTGTCATTCTAATATACCCTATAAGATTCTGTTAGGCCAAAAAATGTAGTCTTGTGAGCGTGTTCTCCTTTCCCTAGTTTACTGTATCTCCGTTTTTAAGGGTAGAAAGACAACCTACCTGACAGCTTTTCTGCTACAAAGATAGATGTAGATACAAATAATTTTGTTCTTCATCTTCAAAAGGATTTACCAACTCCCTTTACCAGCCATGAAATAGATTAGATATTGCATGTTTTTATTCAAATGCACTATATTTTTTTATTGAGCAGAAAACTGTATTATATCTTTTCTTATATGTACAAAACACAGTTAAATGTAAAGAAATCAAGACAAATTATACTGAAATTTCCGTAAGGAAGACCAGTCTTATTATTATAGTAAATATTCTAATTTTTCTAATAATTAAAAAATCTCTAAATTAATATCTTCCACTTGCACTCCTCTTTCAAACAGGTGAAGCTTATCTGCTTATCAAAACAGCAGCAAATAGTAGAAGAGTCCATTTAGAAGATTAATGAACTACTCTTATGGCCATTTAATTTCTATCACAATGGTATAAGTAAATTTTAGGCTGGTAAACGAATACATATTTAATGACAATTTTGCAGCGTTAAAACTGTAAGAAACTGAATCACGGGCTGCTGTTATGTCTATTTTCTCTCTCTCCTTGAGGAGCTGATAATTTAGACTTGTTCCAACTTTTAATAAGAGATGACCCAAATAAAGAAGTCTGTTTCAGTAAAAAAAAAAAAAAGAAAAAGTGTTATACAGTAGCACTTTTCTTTACAACACTGGTTTTGTTGGAATAGGAAAGGGAATAGATTATTTTACAGGAGAGTGTTTTTGTATATGCTTCAAAGGGCATAGCTAAACTCTTAAACAACTTTGTGTTTGAAAATACAATATAAATAAAACATCAATCATGATTAAAGGCTGACCTATCTAATCCTGCTATTGGATTAGAGTATATCAAAATATATACAGTCTATGATGTAGGAACAACAAAACAAAACTACTTCAAGAGCCTAAACACCTTTTATGCTGGCGGTGTTCCACACCCTCAAGTATTGGTCAATTTTCTAACAAGTGGAACGATCTTCTTAAACAGGGATGAAACAAATTGGCAAGACAGTATGGGAAGGCTAATACTGCCATTTCTTCTAGTGTTTCTATACTGTGGATAAATATTAGACTTAGAAACTTGGATATGTTTCTTGGAAAAGTTCAGGCTAATATTTGCTAATCAAGGCAAAATGATCAAAATAGTCTGTGATATGGGTTTGCTCCATTATCAGTTAATCAGAAACCCCCCTACTGCTAAAACTATTTTATATAACCTTTCTGATTAAGCAATTACAAGGCATGTCATTGAAAAATTGTCCTGTATCTAAATATGGAAATAGAAAATACTTTATTTTACACCTGAAGATCATCTATACTTCATTGCGGTATGCACACTCTGTCAGAACGTGCATAACAATAGATCAGCTATAGGTTGCTAATAAAACGTCACGAAAATAAACCAGGAGTATCTTTAAACTTAAGAAACAAATTCATATTCTGGTGTTAAGGGTCTCCAGTTGGGGAAAAGCTTATTGCTACATTTGTAAGTTTGTCACACTTTCTACCACATTCTATTTACACTTCTTATACTTACTATTTATATTTATTATATTATTTCCACTTTATTTTAATCATGCAGTGTCAAGCTTCAATGACTTGAGCTAAAAATTTCTATAGCAGGAAATTTCTGACTGCAATTTTTATAAAATTTCAGCTGAAATACTTTGACCATTTTTGAAAATGACTGGAGAAAAACATGTAAATTTGCTTATATTAAGTGTGTTTGATAACATACACTTTGAACCGTTTTAATACAGCTACACTTTCAGAGCAGAGATTTTAAATTTAGCACAAGGATGGCCTTGCATCAAGAACATGCCTCTGGCCATCTGCATGAAAATACATACAGAATTTAACTATATTATGACCATTTGGAAATACAGTCTGGGAAAGCTTTATTTTCAATATTCTCATATGGCAGCAAAAGAACAATTTTTTTTCTCTAGTTCTGTCATTTTTTATCCTTTAACCTATGCAAAGTATAGAGATTTTTACCCATGAAACTACTAGAGTTCTTAATTTTTCCAAAGTAAATTCCTTGAAAAGTCCACTACCAGGAAGCAATCTCCACCACAAATCTGTGCAAGAATGTCTGCTCATGGACAAGCAGCACTTGGTTTCCTCCATAGACTATACTGTTCCCCAAAATATAATCCCTAAGCACTGCCTTCCAAAAACATTTTTTTTAAAGCTATTCCAATTATGTTGCAGAAGTATTGTTTGTTTGAGAGTGTTAAGAGTTGATCTCAGTCTATATCATAAACTCAGACAGTTTCCAGCATGAAGCTCCCATTCTAAGAGCAGCATTTATGAACAACAGTGTACAGAATGTAATGAATTAAAAAAAAAAATCCATGGGGAAAAAAAAAAGAGTAGGAAAGAAGCCATATAGAGTGGATGCTTATCATCTCATTCACCACATTTCTGGAAGGTGCCCAGAGCCACAGATTCAGGGTAAGTATTTCAAAGGAACAGGTCTCTCTGGCTCCCTTTTCCCCCTTGTTCACTCTTTTGTCGTCTGTTCCAAGGAAATGTGGAATAACGTGTAGAACCACCTCTACAGGGAATCAAAAATACCAGAGAAGTGTGCAGAAATGGAGGTGTGAGACAGAGGTGTATTTCCACAGAGCAGAAACTGTGAAGAGTCCAAGGGGAGAAAGTGGTTGACAAGTATATGTGGAAAAAAAAGGAGATCTTCATCAGGGAAAATAGAGGAATCAAGAAAGA